GAGAATGGCCGCCAGCTTCTTATCAGTCTATTATCAGTCAGCACTTCAATCACAACTATTCGCACTTGATCAATTTATCAATATTTCAACTGTGCTCCTCCTGCCCGTTATATATGCAGATCTTAAGCATGATGTACAAGAGTAAGATAGAGAGAGAAAGAGAGAGGCTGAGAGAGTAAGGACCATGTGCTGACGTAAAGCCTTAAGGCCTACAAAAAGCTTCAGCTGGAACTTCTAGGTGTTGCCCATTTGAGTGTTTCAATGACTTTTAGGTTCAATTTTTCTTCAAAGTGTCAAAGTAAATATTTATAGGACTGCCACAGGGCTTCTTACAGTTAAATCAAATACAGTCATACCTTGTTCAACGGCCCACACGTTAGTTAAGTGAAACAAATTGGAATTGTAAACTTGATGAATGTTTTAATTTGGGAATCTTAAATTTAAAAAAATATATAAGGGTTAAGCTCCCGAAGAGAAAACGAATAACATTATCAAAAGTTAAGTATGTTGTGTTGTTGAAATCAATACAATTTTGATGGCAACATATAATTTGTTGATTAAAAAGGCATTTCATACTAATTTGGGCTATCAAATATTGAAAATCCCATAATGTTATCTAAAGTATTCCTTAGAAATATTTAAATTTTATCGTATGTGTTTGCTTTAACATGCTTTCACAGTACTTGCCAAAAATCAGGTTGACGTTTCGCAATTCGCATTTCTTTTGTTCTTAGCTCAGCCCAGCAAACAAACAAACAACAACAAAAACAAAACACGGTCACGAAACGGTTTTCATTTTATGATTATGGTGCGATCTCGCGCCGTGCTTCATATTGACAGCGTTACACAGAGAGAGCCAGAGAGTGAGAGATAGAGAGAGCGTGGCAGACGGAGAGAAAGAGAGACGGGCTCGGGTTGCGCTGTGGCTCTGTCGTAAGCCGCCAACGTGACCAAGACAAGTTTGGTTGGTTGATCGTTGTTGTTGCTGTTGCTGTTGCTCGCTACTGGCAGCGCAGCAACAGTTTGACCCAATTCGCCGTCCACATACAGCTCAGTCCGCCGCGAACAGCTGTGCAAATATCGCATGGGGCGCCAATGGGTTAATAAGCGGGCGCCCCAAGCTTAGCCAGTAACAACAACAATTGCAAACTCATTGAATATGTAAACTAAGCCTACTCGATGAAACTTTTTTTCTTTTTAAGGCAACAACAATTGTATTGCGAAACGCGGCCAAGCGGAGCGGATGACAAAGAAAGCGGCGAAGGCAGCGGAAAAAAAATCAGCCAATGTGGAGTTACGCTCGTAGAGGTAATGTAGGAGGGAAAGGCAATAAGAACGGAAGCACAAAGTGATATGCCTGCAAGAACACACTCACACTCGCACACACAGCCACAGATAGAAGCAGAAGCAGAGACAGTGGAAAGCAACAGCAAAAGCAACGTTGTCAATATGCTATCGCCCTATCTCGCTCTCGCTCTCTCTCTTTTTCTTTTGCTCACTTGCTGAGTCGTTCGGTTCTGAGCGCTTCTTCTTCCGCTGTGTTGGCAGAAAACAGAAATAACAACAACAACGACCCCAACAAGAGCGAGGACAGCTATGGTCTGCGTACGCTCAATTTCAATGTGATTGATGTGTTCGCTGCGATTGACAGATCTGCGGCGAATTACGCATAATGTGAAAAGAGATGTGAGCAGACTGCCAGCTTGATAACATAAATGTTGATTATTCTACAGCTCTCTCTACAGTTGCTGTTACACTCACTATCTCGCTCGCACGCGCGCAGAGTGTTTGCAGTTCAAAGTGTCGTAAGCAGCAAAACAAAAACGCGCTCGCATTACTTTTGCACCAACAAATAATAACACAAATACAAACAAACACTCTCACACACACAGTAACACTCACGCTTGTGTTGAGGCTCTCGTTCGCCGCGTTCGCCGTGTGGTAACGTTCGATGCCCAAGAGTGACTAACTCAAAAGGTAAGCAGCAACAATGAAGACGAAGCACACAGCACACACACACGAAACCCAGCGCAAAAGCAAACACACAAAACAAAAATAAAAACACACACAAAATCAAAATGCGCCAAGGCGTCTGATAATACAGTTTTAGTAGCCGCAGCAGCACTGCAGTGCGGGCATGTCAAACTGTAGCCGAACATTTATATTTGAGATGCGAACGACGTGAACCAGTTCAAGTGCGCTAGTTCAAGTTTAATTATAGTTGGTGATTTTTACGTTACGTTTTAATATTTTGATAGGTTATTAATTATTTGTAGTTGTGATGCAATCATAGCTGTATATTGTTTATCAACAATATTTTATAATTTGACAATTATTATGACAATTATTAAAAATTATTTATATGTGCGCCAATAACAAGTTCCAGTTATGGCAAATTTCAATTAAGTTCATTGTTATGTTAATAAGAAGCCGAACGTAGATTTTCGGCTCTTGCCAAAGTCAAAGAACATCAGGAAACATATCCAAGCAAGGGAAACCCCTTTGCCGGCGGGCAATACATAGATAATGAGGCCAGCTAATGGCAATAAAACTGCCAGACGTTACATACAAGCAAACGCACACACACACACACACATACACACACACACAGAGCCATAAACTTTTCACAGTGGACGACGCGACGTATGAGTAACGCGTGCCTCAAGGGCAGACGCTTTGCCAAGCGAAAGTGAATGCGAATTTAAATAGCCAGCGAAATGGGGTTAGGGTATCACGCCGAGCAGTGGGAGGGAGAGAGAAAGGGTTGCTGTCGTGTCACTCTCTCGATAGCAGCTGCCACTGCCACAGCCACTGCGAAATATTATGCAAAGCGCGTGCAAATGGAAAATGCGCCCAGGAATGTGTTGCATACTTTGCAGCAGCATTTTAAGAATTCGCTAAACAATAACAAACAAACAAACAGAGAGCAACAAACAAATTGCAAACAATAAACAATTAACAAGTGTGCAGACTGAGAGATATGCGAAGAAAAAGATAAACAAGAGCTTGTGCTAGCGCAGAAGGGAAAATGTATGCGGCCAATTTATGGTTTACGTAGGGAAATTGTTGCATATAAGGAAATTTTCCACAGATAGCTTTGTTTATTTTGGTGAAAGAAATGTTTATTCGCGAACTTTTCGGTTTATTTTTAACGGGAAAATATTAGAAGACTCTATTTGAATTTAAGGCCTAGGGAAAATTCGTATTAGCCCACGTGAGGTTTAACGAAAAGCCAAATGGTTTTTTTGTCTGTGGGAAATTTATGTATTTGTGAGAAATATACGTTTATTTGAGGGAATTTATGGGAATGTGTCGAATGAAATTTTCATTTGAGGGAATTTTCTGTTTATGTGAGGAACTCAATGTTAAGAGAAAAGAGAGAGAGACAAAGAGATAGAGGGATAGAAATGATCAAATTCTTGGCCAATGACATTTATGCCTCGTTTGACAAAGGGTAGCAGAAAGCAGAGAACTTGGCTAAAAACGCTTCCAAACTCAGAGAACAGGCAAACAGCAGCAGCCAAGTGGAAGTCAAGAAACCAGTTTCAAATTGCATTCGATACTAAACGATCCGAAAAAATCAAAGAGCACTCATGATAAATAAAGAACTACCCTGCATGCTACAACTCTTTTGGTGAAAACTCTTGGAGAGGTGCGGCGAGAACAGTTTTTCTCTTATAACAAACAAATAAGTCTAAGGTATATTTATTAGGATCTGAATATCTATGATTAAATTAACTATATGAAGTCAATATCCTATGTTACATACATCATCACAAAACGAATACACCCCAACTACAAACGCTACAGGGTATGCGAAATAACAAAGGCAACCTCAACAGGTAACCCAATGCACCTACCGAGAGAGAACCGAACCAGAAGTCGCAACACTTCAAGTCTTTGTATTTCCGTCAGCTGCCGTTGCAACGAAACCTGGAACTGGTTTTATTTTATTTCTTTCTCTTATATTTTTTTTGTTTGGCAAAGGGAATAGGAAGTGGTTTTTTCTAGCACAGGTCTTGCCTGTTTGTGCGACAGGATCAAGCCATCCTCAAAGGACAAGTGGAACTTGTTCTCAACTAGAAACAACTCTCAACTCAGTTGTTGCAGGGTAGAAATCTCGCTCAATCGATCGTTTCCAAGAAAAGATGAAGATAAAACAGACAACAAATCCATTAGCTATCTCTCTCTTTCCCTCGCTTGCAATTACAGTGCTTGGGGTAGATTGATTACAGAGACGTTGCTGATGGGAATTACGCTTAAGCGTTGCTAATGCATTGCTACGCTCACTCACAGACACACACACAGAGAGTTTACATAGCGCTATCTTGCTCGCGCGCCTTCCATGATCCCTTCCATGGTCACGGCTGCATGTAATTGCCAATAATCATGAGCTGCGACTTGGAAGTAATTTAATTTCCAGTGCAAGGAGCGAGCGCGGCGAAATTAAAGGCGAAACATAGGAATAGGCAACAAACAGCGAAAACCAATTTGTGTATGAAATATGCCAAAGGTGACTTTCAATTGCAAACGCACACACATTCACAGCTCTAGCTATACACACACACATGGGAATAAGCTCAAGCTGTGGCTTTTTGTATTTGTGAACGTTTGCTGTGTTTGGGTTTTTGTTTTGTTTTGCTTTGCATTGCATTGCCACTTACCTGCCGGAAAGAAATTGTTCAAGAACGTTGACATTTTCTCCTTTTTGCACCCTTCGCTTCGCCAGACAACAGCAACAACAAGAAAGTGTACTGCGCGCTGCGCTCACCACGTTGCTCTCTCGCTCTTTCTCTCTCACTTGCTTGTGAACAATCTTCTGTTTGGTCCTGTTGTTGTTGCAGTTTTGCTTTTTGTTCTTTTTTTGTTTTCGTTTTGCTTTTTTTTTGGTTTTTGTTTTTTAAGTTTATTTAATTATTTTTTAATGTTACTTTTTTTTACGTTTATTTTATTTTATTTTTTTTTACAAGTTATTAAATATTTTTAAGGGGTTTCTTTTTTTTTTGTATTTGTATGCAAACTTATCGAACATAAATTAAATAATACAGACAATTCGCACTTAACTCCTAAGTTTCACATTATACATGCTCACATTGTGTCTTATTTTTGTTGAATATATTTTAAATTGGTTATTTAGCTTTTAATTAGTTTGCTTGCAATGATTAAAATGCATGTTTTATTTCGCTGGTAACACAAACGCTGAACTGTGGCCGAGCACGGGCTGCAATAATTGAGAAAAAAAAGAAACAAAACGTTGATAAATGCGAAGTTTTATTGTAGCCTATTTCTACTGCTACGCGACATGCGCTACGCAACGGTAAACTAAACAGAATCCTCGTTCGTTGTATTTGATTTACTTTTGTATTTGTTTGGTATTGCAAAAAAAAAGACAGAAAAAACAGAAATCCGTGGGGGGTGTACACGAAGAAGCGACAAATAAAATCCAAAAAGCAACAGCGCCGTCACAGAGGAAGAGGTAGGGGAGGATGCGGTGCAGTGAGACGAGGGAAGTTAGGCAGAGTTTTGACTTTGCTCTGTTTGGATTTTATTTCATTTGTGTGCGTGACGCTCAACCATATACAGACACAAAATGCGCGCATATTTGCTTTTTACATTTTCCCACTCTGATTACATACACACACTGAGGCACAAACACACACACACTCATTTGATTTTCTCTTATTTTGGAGTTTCACATATTTATAGCATTTTATATTTATAACATTTTTGTATTTCGCATACTTTTCGCTGAACCTGCGCCAACATATTGCAAAAACTGTAAAGAGAAGAGCGTGAGTAGGAGTAGAAGAAAAGATTTTAGCAACGATTGTTGTTGTTGGAATTTTTTAATATATGAATTGTTTGTGTGCGGTTGATTATGGTTATTTATATATGCATGGAGATTTTCATTTTTATTTGTAAATTTCTTTTTTTTTTTTGGTATTCGTTTGCTTGGATTACTAACAATTAATGAGCGGGCGGCAAATAAGAAACTCTGCGCGAATCAACACACACCGCGCGTATTGCGCTGCACGAAGGTACTGGAAAGACAGACGACGACGATGAAGAAGGTGACGGCAATTCAAGTGCCCAAGCGAAGCCAAATGGAGTCCACAACGAACCCTCGCCATATGTATTGGTGTTAGAGCGTGTGTGTACGTGCTGAATGTATATGCGCAGATATGTGTGTATGCATGTTGAGACTCTGTTTCTGTGTGTGCGTGTGTTCTGTGCAGGGTAAAGGATTGGTAAGCGCAAATAAAAACAACAACAATTACAGCTGTGTTTTGTATGCGATGAAGCACACACTGTGGGCAATGCATAGATAATTGCCGTATAAATGTTATCATAGCACATATGTATGTATATGTAATTATTTATACAAATAATCAACAGAGCTGCTCTTATTGTTAATTAATTTATTGGTTATTTGATTGCAGAATTTGTCATATGACTTTGCGCCACTGCGTGACAGGGTAGACATTCTGAAGGATATACATTAGTATGTAGATACATATGATGTATGTATGTTTGTATGCATGTAAATAAGCAGCAAACCGAAGCCAAAGCAAATGCCGTTTTATAACACTAACACACACACATGCTGTCGTGCGCACGTACATTCATATGTACATATGTATGTATATCTGTCTATTATTTTTGTGAAGTTAAACAGGATCCAAGCAGACTCAACAGCTGGCCAGCAACACATACATACACAAGCAGCAGCAACAACAAATTACAACAGGTCAGCATCCACACAGACGTGTGTGCAACATGCCATCCACAGACAGAGCCATTGTTGTGGATGCTAAAACAGCTGGCAACAATAACTTGAAAGTAAACGCGTGTGGGTGCAAAGGGGGGCTGGAAGAGTGGGAGCGCGTTTGAGCCCTGTTTAAAGCTAATGTTTGCTGTTGTGTTTCGTCTGGAACTGGAAGCAGCTAAAATTACTTTTGTCAACAAGTGCCAAAAGGCCAAAGGTTATGGCCATTATCTTCAACACACACACATACACATATTTACATTTGTGCTTCACTGGAATAACATCAGGATTCCAAAATAGACAAACACATACATAAATACAAATATATGTATATGCATGTGAGACCTTTTAGCATTTTGAGGCTTGACTAATTAGTTGAAGTAACCATGCGAATAGAACACAAACAAGCAGAACAAGTTTCGTTTGGCCGCACGCTTATTTTTACACGTTGCTGATTTCTTTTTGCAATTTTCGTTGTTGTTTTTGCGAACCCATAATGTTAAGACGCAATTCATTACACTGGTCAGTGTTGTGCCGATTGAACTTTATTATTATTTTACTTTTAACTCACTTTTTGCAATTCCTAGACAACCGCTTACACATTTGTTGTTGTCTACACTACAGATTGTGGTGGTCGGACAATAAGCGATTCTTTCGATTAATACTTTGTGCGCCATTGCTTGCGCCAATCGAGTATGTGACTATGTGCGATAGTCATCGATGTCTTTTAACATAGTTCTGTTAGGCAAATATTTAAATAGGAAGCGCGTCAGCTCTTTGCCATTGCATATAAAATCCTAGTAGCAATAGAGTAACCTTTTCCTTAAACATTTATTTATGGATATATTTATTTATATTAAATTTGTTTATTGAAGCTATTCATAGTTTGTATTATGTTTACTCAACATTCGAATTTGATTAAAGTTATAAACCAAATCACTTGAAAGATTGTTATCACTGTTAAGAGTTCCACTCTTTTCCAGCTGTGGCGAGTTTCCAATAATTAACAGTCCAAAGCGCTGAGAATTACATTTACATTACTGCAATGTTATTGTGGCTGCTAATAGTCGCGCCGTCCATGTAATCCAAGAGATCATCCATTGAGCTTCATCGATAGAAGCAAATTTTCCGTTGCCATTTGGTGGGCGTGGATTCGAAAACTCTTTGCCTTCCCAGCTCGTGCTCCATATAATTCTGAATCTGCTGCTCTACGTTGGAGCGCCATTCGAGCTCCAAAAACAAGGGAAACAGTTCGCCCGCCTTTTTCAAGCGCCGTTCGGCAGTCTGATAACATTTCCACGGCTGTGGCTCCACTACAAATAGCTCTGCTAGGTTCGACAGTTTACTCAAAAAGAACTGTAAGCCACTGTCGTGATGATTTAGATGGATCCACATGGTTATTGAGTAGCAACAAATAGCATCGAATTTTGTGCGTTGCTGTTGCTGCAGGTAGTTTGCAATGATTTCATCAAAGTTTCCCGCATTCATCACATCGCCGCAAAAGTAGTTTATTTTCTCATCGCACGTGTTTTCCTGCTTAGCGCGCTGGATGAGCCGTTCGTCTATGTCGACGCCTAGGACATGGACTGGCCGTTGTAGCTGTTCTTCCAGAAAGCTATGTAACAGCTGCGTGAAGACGCCACAGTTGCAGCCGACATCTAGCACCAAATAGGGCTTATTTTTATTTGCTGCCATTTCTTGTTGCTGCTTCGGTGGCGCCCAAATATTTTTGTCGGGCAACAACTTAACACGCTCAGTGGCTGAATTGAATTGATAATAATTCATAAAGTTTCCATATTGCACGGCACCAGGATTGTCCTTGCGATGTTCCATTTCAATATTAATAGAAAATAGTAAGTAAACAAACTTTCTTGCTAAAACCACTTGTTACAGCTGTTGCTTGTTGACCAATGTATCGGTACATTAAAATACATCGATACTTTTCTGCTATCCATAGCCGCCAGATCTGGCAATGCCAGATGCTCTGTGGTTAGTGCATATTGTGACCCTTAATATTGCTTCACGCCGCAGCTATATAATTGGTATTATTTTGGTATTTTTTAAAGCACAAATACAGCGCGGCAAATTTGAATTTTTAATTGAAAACACAAGTTTGTGTTTACCTTTCCATTTACTCTTTAATTTACTGCACTCAATTTGATGATCACATATACACATATATATATTTATATGTATATATAATTTATATATACGCATATACATACATTACTCTTAACAATTTTTGCACTGCTTACATGCCAAAAAATCTCGATAACATTTTGTAAAATTAACATTAATAAATGATTGCAAATGAATTTACAATGAATTCATATACGTATGTTGTATGTCTCTGTGGGTGTTTTCACAATAAGAGTTAATAACAAGAAATTCTGGCTGCACTTAAGCAAAAGACGGCGCAGATTATAGAAACTGAATTTAACCCACTAAGGGAACTAGGCAAAATCGCAACAGTCTGTTGAAAATCTGTGGCCAGGATTTGCTTAAGTGCCGCCAGTCAACTCAGAAAACCAGCTAATCTATATGGTAATATGTGGATGTGTGAGTGTGTGTTTTTATAATACATAATTCATGATGTGAATTCAACTAATTAACACTAAATTAATATTAAACTATATTAACTATAATTATTAATCAACTAGATTTTACGATTTGTATGCATTAGATATATATCTATATATAGTAGTATATATATGTATATCTGAACTACAAACTAAATGTATAAACGAGGCAAGTCTGAAAAATTTACGACTTTCGAAGGGGCAAAATCAAAATAAATTTGTATTCAAGTTAATATACATTTAATATATAAATATTTGCAGTCACTAATTCTTCAGACTATCCTCGTCTATACTCTCGTTTTTATTTATTTTGTTTTAATTATATATATTTAGCGCTAATTCTACTGGAAATGTGTTTTTCGTGTTGGTTTTCCGATTTCTGAGCTAAGTTCTGTTAAAGTTGATCGATGTGGAACGTGTGGAACGCGTGGAACTTGTGGAACTACAAACTTTTAACTACGCTCACGATGACCCGCCCACTTGGTGTCTCTCTCCATTTCTCTCTTTGGCATTTATTAAGTTAAGTATTTAAACTAGGTTCTAGAATGCTACTGAATATGGACTTTTCGAAAGCTTTAAACGCCAAGCGTCTAGATATTTGTTGTTTTGCTTCTTATTTTTGGTTTTTCAATAGAGTTGCGGGCTGAAACGGAAACGGAAATGGTAACGGAACTGCGGTCAATTCGAATAGAAATAGAATTTTCTTGTGATATAAGTTGAATACAGAAGTAGACTAGGCATTAGTTGTTATTATCGATGATCGTCTATCGACTATCGATTATCGATTTTGTTGTCTATATGGGTATATAGCTAGATATGTATCACGCTATATACATACAGATATAAGCTCATAAATACACAATAATACATATACATATATATCAATAAATCCCTCGAATTCGTAACATAATTCTTTGCGTTTATGTTTAAAAAACTTTTACTAAATTGTAAAGCTTACGAGCTACTAAATGAATATGTCTTTCAAATCTGTTTAGATGTTCGTGTTCGTGTTCTCTTTGTTGTTGTTGTTAGTGGGTTTTGGGTATTGTGGGTAGTGGAAGTGGGGGTAGGCGTACTCCCCGCCACTCCATTAAATATGCAACCATGTGGCCTAGAGGCAAGTACGGTTCAGTTAGTAGGGCAACTATATATATATATATATATATAGATGAATTTCACATATATCTATACATATATATGTGTGTATATATATATATATTGAGAGAGATGCATTTTACAACCAATTTATACTTGAAAATTTAACGGCTCTAGTCATCTGGGTCCAACCCGATTAGCTCCGCTTGCAATCTGCCCTTAGTCTTACAGCAAATGGTTAAACAAAATACTCTCAATGCGATACGAAATTGGGGCGACATGCTGCACATTATCAAAATTTTCCAAAACGAATTCAATATGCCAATCCAGACGACAGCGAAATTGATAAGAGTATTTTGGATAACCTCGCCCATGACCACCTCGTATAGTCGCAATAATATCCATGGCAGCCAGGACATCCAGAATGCAAAGACTAATGCGAATGACATCATATGACTAGGGTTCGATAAATTTTCAGCCAATGCTGTTGCATATTCTTTATCATGTATCGGCTCGCCCGATCGTATCTTACGCATCATTACAAATATGTAGCCATAGTTGTGTACTATCGATATTAAGCTGGGACCTAACACTAATATTGCCAGCGTGGCGCTGTATGCCGCCATGTTGCCCCAGTCGAGCATGCAGATGTGCGATAGATTATTGACTATCGGCTGCGTGTAGCCGAGTATCGGCGGGCAGCACAACAACGCCGCCGATATCCATGTGAAGACCATCCAGCACTGGCAGCTGCAAGAGAAATGGCATTAATCAGTAATTCGATTATCGACTATCGGTTATTGTTGCACATCACTAACCGTGTCTTCGTCTGCACCGTTTCGTAGCGCAACGGCTTGCGCACGGCCAAATAGCGATCCACCGAGATCCACATGAACGTGTAGACCGACACGGCCCACAGCGTCACCTCCAGGTAGCCGGTGAAACGGCACACGATGTCGCCGTACATCCATTCGCCCGTTAGAGCGGGATAGACTGAGAAGGGCACGACGAGCAGGCCGCATAGCAAGTCCGCGATGGCCAATGAGAGCAGATAGTAGTTGATGACCTCTGTGGGACCTAAGAGAGCGCAGCATGTGGAACGTAAGTTCATGTGTGTGTGTGTGTGAGTGTGTGGAATGTGAGCTTAAGCTTACCTTTGAAGTTTGCATAGGTGGCGATGATTAGCAAATTGGATAATACAATTGCCACGCCCAGTATGGAGATGAGTACGGCTTTGGTGAGTGCCTCCAATTTGGAATTATCCTGCAGGTAGCTCATTTCCTGCATTTTTCTGCCCACTGCAAGCAGGTGAGAGAGCGGGTGGTGTGGGGAGCGAAGGATGTGGATATGGTTGTATGTGTGTGTGTGTGTGTTTGTATGTTTGTGGGGAGGCTTAAGGTTATGCTAAGGCCAACAACACACGTAAGCCGCCTACCTCACTTCCTGTCATGACGGCCAGCAGTTAGCGTGTGGCGCCCTCTATTGTGCAATAGCCCAAAAAAGCTAAATGCAAATGCACGGACAAGGTCGCTGTCGTTGTCGCAGTCGCAGTCGCCGTCGGCGTCGACGTACAAATTTTTTTCGTGAGTTTTGTTTTTTTTTCGTGGATTGTTTGTTTATTCCAAGTTTAAGGTTAAGGTGAATGTGGTTGGTTTGTGTTTTGCAATTCGTTTGCGCTGAAGCTCGTTTAAAAGTTGCATTTAAAATTTACCGTTAAAAACTACTAATAGACCGTATTTTGGTTGATGCTTCGACGTGGTTTTAGTTGAAGAGTTTTCTTTTTTTTTTTGGTATTAAATTCACAACGCTCTTTGCTAAGTTTAATTAAAAATTTTATTAATGTCTTTTCATGCACTACTAAAAGGTTTGAATATATGTATATATATTATATATAATATATATGTATCTATATAGCTCTAAATATATAAATTTACTTTCCTTAATTATTTTTTATGTTTTTTTTTTTTCTAAATTTGTAAACTAATTATTTATTTACTTTTGTTTTTTTTTTTGAAACTTTAAAGTGGAAGAATAATGATTATATTTATTATTTAAGTTTAAATTTAATATTAATATAATAATATTAAATGTAATTTATATAATTTTTTTACTCAATTTTACGTTTGCAACACTTTTTTGTTGTTGTTGAATTTTTAAGTAGTTAATTTATTAATTAAGAGCACAGCACAAATTTTTAAAAGTTTTTTCCCTTTTATTTATTTTTTTCTGTTATTTTTAAATATTTTTTGTAAGGCTTTTGATGTGCTACGTTTTTAGGTTGAAAATTTGGGTTATTTTTTTTTAATTTAATTTTGTGTTAATTTTTTTTTTTAAGTTTAGTTTTATTTTACGGTCGTGCTTTTTTGTGATTATCCTTTTGCTTGTAAATTCTGGCTGTTGTTGTTGTTGTATTTATTTATTTGCTCTGCGTGCTGTTATTGTTGTTGTTGTTGTTGCTGTTGTCGTTGACTTTTTTAAGCTAATTGTGCGCATCTAAAATGGAATAAAAATACGAAATTTAGGTATCTATTTTTTTTAATATATAAAAAAATTTTTTGGGCGATTTTTTTTAATATAAATTCACAATATATTTTATATATATATTGTGAACTTTATATAATGGAGATTTATTTAATTTAAAACATATATAATATTATATATGTATTTATAAAAAATTAAATTAAATTATTTTTATATTAAATTTCCATTAAATTGTAAATGAAATTTGCCTAATTCCGTTAAACAAAGTGTGTTTCAGAGTCAAGTCCTGCATAAAATCCTTTACATAAGAGCGTCCTTATCCTGCCCGACAGTTTGAGCATTTTGACTGCTACGCCGCCTGCCCCCTGTGAGTGCCACGCCCAGCTGGTGCTGGTGCTGCTTTTTGCAGTGACCCACTTTGCATTGTGCACTTGACACAGTTTGAGAGGCGTCGCTGTCAAAGCAGCCACTCGAACACAATAGCAATGCGCACTCAGTGCTGCTCAAACTGTTGCGCCGTTTGACAGGCTCTCCAAAGAGAGTCTGGACATATGTGAAGACTCTTGAAATTAACAAAAGCCGATTTAGTTTGGTATTTATTCTTTGTTAGAGTTTGTAGCATAAAATTGAAGTAGGTTTAACACGGTTACTCTCAAACTGTAACACTTAGTATGTTTGCTTTGCTTTAATGAACTGTGTTATAAAGGAAGTAAATACATTTTTCAGTGATGTCTGTCAATGACTCTCAAACTTTTAGTGGACTGCTAGAGCTTAAAATCTCCAGTTTAGCGCTAGTTTATGTTGTTTGCTCTTAAGTTGTGCTGCTGCACTATCTATGGCTCTCAAACTGTGTTTGCTTAGTTATGCTTGTCAAACTGTCAATGAGCAGCTGTAGCTTGCATGCTGTAAAATTTGTAGTTTTACCATCACAGAGACTCCTAAACTGTAACTGGCATGCACTGCATGTCAAACTGTAACGATTTTGAAGCAAGTTGCACAGAGAATCTGAGAATCGTTTCGATTTACTTGAACTTAATAACTTTTACTTGAAGTAATGAGTTTTCATGAACTTATTTTTGTCGCTCTCAAACTGTAAGCGCTGTAAAGCTGACTCAGCTCTCGTCCCATAAATGGCTCATAATCTAAGCAATGACTGCCAAACTGTACAGCACTTAACTATGAGCCATGAAGCATTTGTGGAATTTTGTTTTAGCTAAATTAGTTGTATGTATCAATTAGTTTTAGTTACTGCTCTCTATACTGTAGCTGTCAAACTGTATACACGCTCTTTCCTCTTTAGCAGTTGTCACTATTTTCCTCTTAGTGCTTTCCGCCATCGATCACCCATTTAGCCAGTCGCTGCCCCATCTCGGTATATTTAGCTACATCTTCATCTGCTCACTAAACTCCCTTCAATGAGCCCACACTTTGGCCCACCCACGCAGCTCGTTGGCTCATCAGCATCATTGGACGACGTCATTGCGCCATTTTCCACACACACACACACACACACACACAGACAGAGATGGATAGAAAAACACAAATACAAACACAAACAGCGAAGCCCATTATCAAATGCCATTAAAAGACGGCAGACCGGGCGCCAGAGTTGAAAGGTAAACGATGGAGACAGAGCGAGACGGAGAGAGAGAGAGACAGAGAGAGTGAGAGGCAGATAGAGACTGTAACAAGTTTGTCATCTGCTCGATGCCCGTCTCTCAACTTGGTAATTTAATTAATGCTAACGACGCAATGGTTCGGCAGCTCGACAGGTGATAAATAACAATTGCATTTGGCTAAGCTGCAGAAGGAGCAAACAGCTCGCCGCGACAGGTGCACAGCTTGTCAATCATTGCGTAAGCTGCAGCCACCCAGGGCTGGGGCCTGGGCTGGACTGCTGCTAGGTAAGGCAAGGGTTGGGGTTGGGGTTGGGGTTGGGTTTGGGGTTTGGCTCGGCTTTGGCTTTCATGTCATTTGCGCAAAACGATTTCATGGACGCCGACAACGCGACGCCCCAGCAGCAGCAGCAGGCAGGGGGGGTAGGGGGTGGTGCGCAGGGGAAGTGGCTGTGGCTGTGGCTGTGGCAGCTGCTGCCAATTACAAATGGCAATAACGCTCATTGTGTGCTGCCAACTAAACCGTTGCATAATGAGCTGAACACCACGGGAGCTGCCGCCTGCTGGCCGGGGGCTGGGCGGGCGTGGCACATTAGCGGATGGGGTTCAGCGAACCCAAGAGCAACAATAACAACAACAGAAAATCAATAGGCGCGTGCATATTAATGATTAATTAAGCGAAATCTTTTGCGCATTTTAGCTAAAGAAAGAGAGAGAGGGGTGAGAGAGAGAGAGAGAGAGACAGAGGGAGAGGGAGAGCGGCTAGTCGTGTCTAGAGTTAGACTGATGGCAATTTGATTGCCAAACAGTCTGGGCGTGAGAGTTACTCAATAAATTTGTGAGCTCAAAGGTCGCCCAGGCACTTATGATAGATGAGGGGGTGTACGGAACGGGAGTGGGGGCTAAGTCTACATTGAGGAACTGCTGGAAATTACACAGCAAACACGGGAGTTGGGTGAGCAGCAATCAAAGCGGGTTTATGAAATCATAATTGTTTACTTTTTTTCTAACTCACGCTTTCTTCTTATACGATAGCTGACTCGTAACACTTTTTATACCTTCTTGAACTTTGCAGCTCGGGTATTACTTGGCCGATTGCAGACTCAACTATACTGTTTGATTCAAGAGAAGCAGAACTATCGATTCTCATTTTTCTTTTGCCATCTACTTTCGTCTCTTTCTTTCACTCTTCTGCTTTTTTCTTATATATATTCATAATTTTACCATTCCCCTCTAGCTCGGGTATTACTTGGCCGATTGCAGACTCAACTATACTGTTTGATTCAAGAGAAGCAGAACTATCGATTCTCATTTTTCTTTTGCCATCTACTTTCGTCTCTTTCTTTCACTCTTCTGCTTTTTTCTTATATATATTCATAATTTTACCATTCCCCTTCAAATTTTTATTACGCTTACTCAACGGTATAGGTATTTTTGATTCAGATGAAGATCAGACTCCGTCTATGTCTATTGTCTGTTCTTTCATTTCCATTCCGTCAAGCTATGCTTTCTCCAATTTGCTATTTTTTTCGTAAATCCTAATTTTTTCTATTCTTTTCCATGTTTCGCTTATCCCCTCTTCATATTCTCTTCAGTTCTATATTAATAGCACTTACGTAAGCTCAGTTCCTATGGAGCTGTTGAGCGATTGAGTTTAAAAATAGTATCTAAAGTCCATTCATACTACTGCTCAACAAACTGGAATACCTTTATGAAGTATTGCATAACTGTAAGCAAAGCTAACGGACTCGACAATAGAGCATGTCAGTTTTGTTAGTTTGCTATTCACATGCCCTTATATAACATCAAAAAGTAGGCTACATAAAATGGAAATAAGTTTTTGTTTTGCACAGATTTATGATATGTGAAGAACAAAACGAAAAAAAAAAGTTCCTGTATAAATGCGCGCGAATGTAATGCAGCGTATAATAAAAAGAGTTAAATGTGTGCGTGTGTGTGTGTGTGTGTGTGTGCGTGTGTGTGCAGCCATAAAATATGTATCGCATGCGTGTTTATGGCGCGAGCGAATGCGAAAGATACAGATACAAGAGTACAGCAAGGATATCGAGAGTGAGGTAGTCTGAGACAGAGTGAGATGTAGATTGCCAGACAGAGACAGAGAGCTGGAGAGCTGGGGAGATGTAGGTAAGCACATGACGCCACAGTCAAGTGATTTAGAAAGCCACGAGCTGGAACGACGACGCCATAAAATTATATTTAAATGCCATGGGCAGGTGGTTAGCCAGCCACCCCCCGCCACCCCATGCCAGCTAACGGTAAAAAAAGAATAATAATAATAGAAGCAAATTGCGAGCAAAGCGAGCGAAGGCCAAGGCGAATGCATGCTTAAATATATATATATAGAGTATATAAAATATATATATATATGCATATATTTATCTGTGTGTGTGTGTGAAGGAAAGAGGAAAAGTCTATTCAGTTGATGACGTTGACAGCCGCAGCAGGAGGTAAGGCTGCTGCAACTGCAGTCGCAGTCGCAGTGGAAGAGACTGGGGCGGGGTGGGGTGAGTTGGACCGGACTGAATTGGCTGGGGTTGGCTTGGGGCAGAGCGACGTCATCACGTCAGGCTTATATAAGCATGACCTCAGCAAGTGCCAGTGGCGCAGGCACAGCAACCCGCGGCGCTTACCTTGGCGGCACCACTACCCAATGCCCTGTGCACAATGTGAAAAGAGAGTATATACGTTTGACTGAACTTCTGTGTATCAGCTTGCACGCTGCTTAACAAGAGAGTACATTAGCCTTGGCTATTGAAATGAAGGCAGAACTACAAATTCATCAACAGTTTCGTGTCTATGTAATAGTAGCTCTATACCGATAAATATCGATTGTTGAAACATTAAATTAGAGATGGTAACTGGGTTTACTTTGCTAACTCTCTCGTGATATGTTCAGGTAGGAATAGTTTCAGCTTGAAAGCCAACACGTATAAACAATAAATCTGCTGTTTTGGCAATGCCGATAAATTTCGACTGTTAAAATATTCCACAAAATTTACCTATGAGGATAACTATAAAACATTTTAAGATTTATAATGTCTGCTAGACTATATAGTGAATGCTGCTACTTGCAAACACAAAACTGTTTGTTATCGTTGATATCGATAAATGTTGATTGTTAAAAGAAATCAGCTTAGTCGTAATTCTTGGCTATATACACCCAGACATGACTCAAACATAAAAGCTGTCTCTTTTCAAAATATCGATAAATATCGATATGCCATTGATTTGTATATAATCCAAAGATATTTAAGGTGTTTAGTTTTTGGTATTACAATGATCTTTTATACAATCTAGGAATATTTTAAAGAGTGTAGTAAGACTTGATTTCTGCATAATATGCCATATATGTATATCTCGATAAATATCGATATG